CCATCTACATGCTGCCTACAAGAGACTCACCTCAAACCCAGAGACATTCACAGACTTAAAGTGAAGGAATAGGAAAAGATATTTCATGCAAAGAATAGGGAGAACAAAGCAGGAGTTGCAATACTGTATCACACAAAATAGATTTCAAAACAAAGAAAGTAACAAGAGACAAAGAAGGACATTACATAATGATAAAGGGGTCAGTCCATCAAGAGGATATAACCATTATAAACATCTATGTACCCAACAAAGGAGCATCCAAATGTGTACAACAAATACAGAATTAAAGGAGTAAATAGAATGTAATGCTTTAATTTTAGGAGACTTCAACACACCACTCACTCTAAAGGACAGATGAATCAGACAGAAAATAAGTAAGGACATAAAGGCACTGAACAATGTATTAGAACAGATGGACTTAACAGATATCTACAGACACTCCACCCAAAAGTAGCAGGATAAACATTCTTCTTAACTGCACATGGAACATTTTCCAGAATAGATCAAACACTAAGTCACAAAAAGAATGAAATTGTGCCAACAAGCTTCTCAGACCACAATGGAATGAAACTAGAAATAAATTTCTAGTATACAAAGAAAATAAACAAGCCCACAAACACATGAAGGCTTAACAAAATGCTCCTAAATAACAAATGGATCAATGACCAAATAAAAACAGAGATCAAGCAATATATGGAGACAAATGGAAACAATTCAACACCCCAAAACCTGTGGGATGCAATGAAAGCAGTTCTAAGAGGAAGACAGTATATAGTAGTATAGGCTTACCTCAAGAAAAAGGAAGAATCCCAAATGAACAGCCTAAACTCACAATTAATGAAAATAGGGAAAAAAAAGAACAAATGAGGCTTAAAGTGAGTAGAAGGAGGGACATAATAATGATCAGAGCAGATATAAATAAAATTGAGAAGAATGAAACAATAGAAAGAATCAATGAAACCAGGAGCTCATTCTTCAAGAAAATAAAAAGATAAACCCATAGCCAGACTTATCAAGATTAAAAGAGTTTACACACATAAACAGAATCAAAAATGAGGAAGGAAAAATCACTATAGACACTGGAGAAATACAAAGAATTATTAGAGAATATTATGAAAAATTATATGCTAACAAATTAGATAACCTAGAAGAAATGGACATCTTTCTAGAAAAATACAACCTTCCAAGACTGATCCAGGAAGAACAGAAAATCTGAACAGACCAATTACCAACAATGAAATTGAATTGGAAATCAAAAACCTACCTAAGAAAAAATTCCTGGTCCAGATGGCTTCACCACTGAATTTTATCAAACATTTAGTTAAGACCTAATACCCATCCTCCTTAGTCTTCCAAAAAGTAGAAGAGGAGAGAATACTTTCAAACTCATTCTAGAAGTCAGCATCACTCAAATACTAAAACCAGGCAAAGATACCACAAAAAAAGGAAATGACCAATATCTCTGATGAACCTAGATGCAAAAATACTCAACAAAATATTAGCAAACCAAATTGAAAAATACATCAAAAAGATTATCCATCATGATCAAGTGGTATTTATTCCAGGATGGAAGGATGGTACAATATTTGAAAATTATCAACATTATATACCAAACAACAAAAAGAAGTACAAAAATCACATAATCATCTCAATAGATGCTGCAAAAACATTTGACAAAATTCAACATCAATTCATGATAAAAACTCTCAACAACATGGGCACAGAGGGCAAGTACCTCAACATAATAAAGGCTATATATGAGAAACCCACACCAACATCATACTTAACAGTAAGAAGCTGAAAGCTTTTCCTCTAAGATCAGGAACAAGATAAGGATGCCCAAACTCCCCACTTTTATTCAACATAGTTCTGGAGGTGCTAGCCACAGCAATAAGACAACACAAAAATATAAAAGGCATCCAGATTGGCAATGAAGAAGTTAAACTGTCCCTGTTTGCAGATAACATGATATTATACATCAAAAACCCTAAAGAATCCACTCCAAAACTACTAGAACTAGTAACTGACTTCAGAAAAGTTGCAGGATACTTAATGCATGGAAAAATGTTACATATCTATATACTAATGATAAACTAGCAGAAAGTGAAATGAGGAAAACTTCCATTTACAATTGCAGCAAAAAGAATAAAATACCTAGGAAGAAACCTAACCAAGGACATGGAAGACCAATACACTGAAAACTATAAGACACTCATGAGAGAAATTAAAGCAGACACCAATAAATGGAAATAATTCCATGCTTATGGGTAGGAAGAATTAATATTGTCAAAATGGCCTCCTGCCTAAAGCAATCTACATATTCAGTGCAATCCCTGTCAAAATACCAAAAGCATTCCTCAGTGAACCAGAACAAATAGTTCTAAAATTCATATGGAACCACAAAAGTCCCCAAATAGCCAAAGCAGTTCTGAGAAGGAAGAATAAAGCTGGAGGGATTATGCTTCCCAACTTCAAGCTCTACTACAAAGCCACAATAATCAAGACAATTTGGTACTGGCATAAGAACAGACCCATAGATCAATGGAATAGAATAGAGAGCCCATATATAAACCCAAAAATATGGTCAATTAATATACGATATAGGAGCCATGGACATACAATGGGGAAATGACAGCCTCTTCAACAACTGGTATTGGCAAAACTGGATACCTACATGTTAGAAAATGAAACTGGATTACTGTCTAACTCCATACACAGAAATAAACTCAAAATGGATCAAAGACCTGAATGTAAGTCATGAAAACATAAAACTCTTAGAAGAAAACATAGGCAAAAATCTCCTGAATTTAAACATGAGCAACTTTTTCCTGAACACATCTCCTCAGGCAAGGGAAAGAAAAGCAAAAATAAACAAATGAGACTATATCAAACTAAAAAGTTTTTGTACAGCAAAGGACACCATCTGTAGAGCAAAAATGCATCCTATAGTATGGGAGAATATATTTGTAAATGACATATCCTATAAGGGGTTAACATCCAAAATATATAAAGAGCTCACATACTTCAACACCTAGAAAACAAATAACCCAATTAAAAAATGGGCAGAGTTGCTGAACAGACACTTCTCCAAAGAAGAAATTCAAATGGCCAACAGGCACATGACAAGATGCTCCACATCGCTAATTATCAGGGAAATGCAAATTAAAGCCACAATGAGATATCACCTCACACCAGTTAGGATGGCCAGCATCCAAAAGGCAAGGTACAACAAAAGCTGGTGAGGATGCAGAGAAAGGGGAACCCTCCTACACTGTTGTGGGGAATGTAAATTTGTTTAACCATTGTGGAAAGCAATATGGAGGTTCCTCAAAAAACTAAAAATAGAAATATCATTTGACTCAGGATTTCACTCTTAAGAATTTACCCAACGAAAACAAGATCCCAGATATCAAAGACATATGCACCCCTATATTTATTGGAGCACTATTTACAATAGCCAAGAAATGGAAGCAACCTTAATGTCCATCAGTAGATGAATTAATAAAGAAGATGTGGTACACATACACAGTAGAATACTATTCAGCCATAAGAAGAAATCAAATCCTACCATTTGCAACTATGTGGATGGATCTAGAGGGTATTATGCTCAGTGAAATAAGCCAGGTGGAGAAAGAGAAGTACCAAATGATTTCACTTATTTATGGAGTACAAAAAAAAATCATAACTGAAGGAACAAAACAGCAGCAGACTCACAGAGTCCAAGAAGGGACTAGCGAGTGTTTACCAAAGGGAAAGGGTTGAGGAGGGTGGATGAGGAGGGTGGGATAAGGGGATTAGGGGCTATTATGATTACCACAGGTAATATAGGTGGGTCATTCATGGGGATGGCAGTATAGCACAGAGAAGACAATAGTGACTCTCTAGCATCTTACTACACTGTTGGACAGCGACTGGTATGGAATAGGGTAGACTTGGTAATGGGAGAATATTGTAACCACACTGTTGCTCTTGTGAAACCTTCATAAGATTGTATATCAATGATACTTTAATAAAAGAAGAAAAAGAATGAAGTCTTCCAATGGAACAGGTGATATTGTTTGTAGAAACTCATTGGGCAGTTGTCTCTTATTCTTTCATATTTTTACTAAGTTCTAACATAAATACATTACAGCACAGTTAAGTAAGTTCCAGTAAAATCAACCTAATTTTCTAATAAATAGCTTCAGTGAAATTAAAATTAACTTTACCCAAGAAAAGTACTATCCTTGTGTGATTGAAATACATCTTTTAAAATTCACTGAAAATTAATTTTGCAAAAATAGTGACAACCTGACAAACTATTTACAATGATATCCAAGTGTTTTAAGGTGAAATTGTATGAAACTCAAGTGTTAAAAACTATTGAAAGTCCAAAGATAAGGACACAGTAGATTGTCAGAGTGTGGCATTGTCAGTTCTTAAATTGTATTTCCTCTATGGAAAAAAACAAACACTAAAGCTTCGTGATTTAGGCAACAATTTCTAGAGTCAAAACTTCTGATTTCACGTAAGAGGCTCTTTTTCTCTTTCCTACTCTTGCGTATACTGTGTCTGCTAAGTCTACAATATCTCATCCCTTATAGCATCTGTGGGTAAGAGAGAATGGCATAGGGGCAGAATACTTAACATCTGAATCCTATCCTCCCAAGCTGGCTCCATCACTCTTCTGTGAAATGCAGATGTTAAAGACCCTTAATGGCTGATAATGACCAGTCATTGAGTAGATAGTTCTTCTGTTGACCATTCACATTCCAATTTAACGCTTTATTTATTTTGCTAATATTGAAGACCTCATTTGAGACAGTTCTATAAAAACAATTCAGAATTACTTTAAAGTGAGAATATGTGCCAGGTATTCCCAAGGTCTCTATAATTTTTGTCATCTGAGTTGTCACACTTCTTCACCCAACAGAAATTGTTCCCTTATGATTTTCTTTTTGTTTGAATATGCTTTACCAGTTTATACTAACCTTGAAAAATTTTCTTTTTCCCATTTCAAGTTCCACCCAATCTGACTGTTCCACAGGAAAAATCACCTTTGGTCACCAGAGAAGGAGACACAATAGAACTGCAGTGTCAAGTAACTGGGAAACCTAAACCAATCATCCTTTGGTCTAGAGCGGACAAAGAAGTTGCAATGCCGGATGGGTCCATGCAAATGGAGAGTTATGATGGAACACTGAGGATTGTGAACGTATCTAGGGAAATGTCAGGAATGTACAGATGTCAGACCAGCCAGTACAATGGATTCAATGTGAAACCAAGGGAAGCCTTGGTGCAGCTCATCGTGCAGTGTAAGTAATTTTTTTTTCTCTGTGCTTTTGTCAGGGGACGAGGGAAGAAATAATATTGTTGTACTAGTAAGATAGGGTAATTTTTGGAATTCAATTAGGATAAAATGTTTCTACATTATTGCTATCCAATTGAAATGATAATTTTCCCTAAACGCCTTTCACTTGAGCTAATACTCACTAATAGAAAAGAATTGTATTAGTATTTGTGTGTGATGATTATGATGGTGCTACGTTTTGGTTAACGCAAAAGAATCAACAAACCTAATGGTTAAAAACTGGCCATGTGCAATGAAGTGAAGTGGAGATTGGAAGTAATTGCTAATTCAGATTATAACACTCTTTTGTTTTCACAGTTCATGTTTCTATTTCAGGTGATTGTGCACTCTTTGCCCAAATTATCCACCTATTTCAAGGCATCCCTTTGCTTAAATTATGAAAACCTAATCATTGAAATGCTATGTTTGCATATCTGAAGTTATGAGTAGATTGCATAATTATCTAGTAATGTTGAGATAATTCAGGCAAATATTAGGTGCTGAATTTTGCTTGACTTTCTTAACAGATAATTGTTAACTATGAGAGCTGGATATGATAGATTTTTTTACTGTTTTTATTGAAATCACTGTTATAGTTCTAACAAAAAACCTGTAGACATCGCTTGCTTTGTATTTGCTTTTAGAATTAAAAATACCTTAATTCATAAATGTAAGACATTTAACAATGCCACTGGTGTTGGGTATTAGAAGTGCCCTGACCATTTGTATGGCAGATGGTACAGACACTGCTGACAGAGGAGGAGCAAACTAAGAGCAGTCTGTGTCAACTCCAGTAGCAATATATTTTAATTGATGCACTCCCTTAAATACATGGTGGCAAAGTATTCAAGAAAATGAATGAATTAAATGAAACTGTCACTTCAGTAAACAGTGATGTTATTTTTCTTTCTGTGAAGGTTTCCCTCTAACTCAGAAAATGGAAAATAGAACTTAACTCATATATACCTCTATAAAAAGATTCAAGGATATTGGCAGACTTAATTAATTGACTTTAAATTTGAAAGAATAAATGAGATATGGGAGGGTTATGTTTGGGACTCATGCCAACATGTGAATTTATGTAGAAGGTGTGTGAGCTGTGGGGAGAGAAGCAAGCTTCTGGGGGTGGCTTACCCATTTCCTTTTCCATTGCAGCTCAGATTCCACTATGCTATTGGTCCTTAAACATGCAAACTGATACTTGTCAAATATTTTGATGAATTTCCATTGATAACTGATTGATAACATTTTTTTCCAAATGTGGTTTTGAGAAAGCACGTTCCATTCAGTGTTTTCCTCACTGGCCTTTATCCTCAGGACAGTAAGCTCATGAGTAGAAGTTTCATGTGAAAACAGGTTTCAGAAAGAAAAAAATAATAAAAAGGAAGAAACCTTTGCTCAATTCTCAAAAAAAAAAAAAAACACAAGAAGAGGAGGAGGAGGAAAAGAAGAAAAAGGGTAGAAGAAAAAAGACCCACAGAGGAAGTTGGTACAATTTGGAACACTTCATTCTTGTTGGTACTCACAGGATTCTGTGCTTCCTCCTGAGTTACTCAAAGTTTCAGGGTTCCTAAAGCTATTAGGGCAATTAGTTTTCACTCTGCTTGTATCTCTAGGGAAGCTCTGATACCAGTAAAAGCTGTAAAACCAGTGGCTCTAGGGAAGTTTGAATTAAAGGTTCAAGGACCAAGTTCTCCAATCGCCATAGAAAATGCTAACCTTCAGAATTCTATTGGTGAGGTGCATTTCCTTTTCTGCTTCTTCTTAATAAGTTAGATAAAATGTTAAGTTCAGCACAAGATTTTAAAATTCAGTCCTATAATAGTGGATGAAAATAAATACTAGCACAGTGTCACTAGTGCTACAGGATGTAATTGGCAAAAAATACCAATAGACAAAGTCCAGTTCATTTAATGTAGGTAAAAAGATCTGCATTACAAGGTGACTTCAGAGCCTGTAATAAATAGTTCTTGCTCTCAGAGCCAACTTCCATGGCCTACCAGGAAAGCAGCTGGCTGCCAGCAAGCAGGCTTGCCAGTTCCAGATGAGGATGCTATCGTGTCTTTCAAGAAGCTCCCTTTTATGTATTTCCAGCTCTTCTAAAGAACCTGGTTATATCGCTGAGCAAATAACTGATGACAATTCCAGAATATTCCTGAGTGAATCAAATGTTGATTTCCCAAACACATAATCCCTGCTAGCAGGTCCAGCTCACAGCCTCCCTAAGGTTTATCACTGCAAAACTAATAATGCAAGAATGCTCTTAATATTTTTAAATGATAAGCATCTTAACTTGGATAGCCATGCTACATGTAAGAAATATTTTTATGCATTTAAGTTACTAAACTGTTTCATATACATATGCACACACATATACATATAAGTGTGCATATGGTTCTATCCTCTTCAGAAATTGGTTATATCATCACAGCAGGAAACTTATGCTTTATGTATTTTGGATTAATAATATTTTTACATTAGAGCTGTTTAGTAAATGTTAAGTTTTGATAACAAATGGACTAAGAATATATATATATATTACATACTTATTACTTATTGGGTGACTTTTTTTTATTTAGGTTTCAGGAGTATCTGAGGACTGTTGTGTAGTTTGATACCTGAAAGTGTCCAAGTGAATGAAGGAAGAGGTCAAACTATTAGCAATTTCAGTTAAAAAAAAGTATTTTCAGGTCTTGAACTTTTTTTTAGGACTTGACTCCTACGCTTCAGTTAATTAAGTTAAGACCTCCTTTTTAAAAATGTTAATTATGCTGGCAAACTCTGGGACAGTCTATTTTAGAAGAAATATGCACATAAAATACACACATATGTATTTACATATAATTTTATCTGTTTTGAGATGTTAAAGACAAAAAAGAGATAGTCCATTCAAATAAGAAACAAATATCTGATATCTCCAAGTCACATTTTTCTTCTTGTTTAGTTTTTGCCTGTGTTCAGGTAAACAGTTACCAAGCAAAAGGACTACAGGAGTAAAGAAGTAACTGTAGGTAGGACGTTCATGACTGAAGTGCCTAAATATCATAGAGTACATATATGCATATTATATAAATAAGGGAACAGTCCATTTAATTTAAAGTTCTAATTCCTCAAATGAGAATTTATTCTTAACAATGTTGATATAAATTATAAATAAATTTTATTAAAATTTCTTGAATTATTTACTATCTCCAATTAATGTGCCTCTTCTTAAAATGTGTAGAGAGTGATTAAGCCAATGACAGAAGTCTAGAGGTATTTTACACCATTTTATATCCTGTTAAGAGTAGCTTAATCACCATAATGAAATAGTTTAAATTATTAAGTTCTGTGCACATTACTGATTCCTGGAAAAAAAAATATTTATTTTATATTTTTAACTTCTACAATCACCAATTACCACAGATAATACATACCAGAATAGGAAACTATAAAAATAAGAATTTTTAAAATGCAGGTTAAGATTAATCTAAATTTCTTTAAAAATTGCTAGATGAAATTGCAAAGTACAATGTAAAGTTTTACTAACAGACTTTCAAATTTTCAGCCATTACTTTCATCCACGGTTTGGAACTATGTAACTGACTTTCTGGCTCAGTTCTATTTAAAGCAGCATTAGAATAACCTAATTAAAAAAACAGTTATATATGTTAATTAATTCATATCATTTAAAAATCCTAGCATGTATAGGGCTTATTTATCAAGACTAGAACAATTTCCTAAACAAAGTAGCAATAATAAAGATAAATTTTTATTTATCAATTAGAGTACTGATCATTTGAATATTGATTACATCAAAATGCCAGTGAATGAATATATTCAAATCTGTATAATGAAGATACTAAGATATTCCTATTATCCTACAAAAAGAAATTGTTTTTATTTTATATTTATATTATGTAACTATGTCATATAAATATACATATACTATTGTATACTATGAATTAAATTTCATGAATAATAACATTTTACATTTAACAAAAGCTATCATTTAAA